GTGGGAAGGGACCTTCCAAGGTCATCTCATCCAAACCCCCTGCAGGGAGCAGGGACATCTGCAGCTAGAGCAGGTTGCTCAGAGCCCCGGCCAACCTCCCATGGGATGGTTCCAGGGATGGGGCAGCGACCACCTCTCTGGGCAGCCTGGGCCAGGGGCTCACCTCCCTCAGCAGCAAAAATCCCTTCTTTCTCTCTAGTCTAAGTCTCACTCTTTTAGTCTGAACCTGTCAGCCCTTGTGCCTCCACAACAGGACAGCCCCAGGGAAAAGCCTCCATGCTGCTCTGAGGGTCCCAGGTACGATCAAAGCAGAACAGATGCTGGAGCTGGGATGAGTGACACCCAAACCAGGGGGGTCAGACAAGTGGCACAGACCCGTGACAGAAAGCACAACAAGGACACATCCATGCCGGGCACCCTGGGGAGCAGCTTGCTGTGGCACACGGGGCAGGCACAGCTCCAGAGGGCTCTCCTGCTGGGCCTTCACGGGCTGGAGGATGGTGCAGCTCATCGTCAGACTTGTCAGAGAAAAATTATCAAAAGGAGAATAAGGAGGAGCCGCCAGACAAGTTTTGTTTGGAGGGGGGCTCGGTGAGCCCAGGGCAGGGAGAGGCAGGAGAGCCCCATCCTCCCCATGGCTGCTTGAGCCAGCTGCCCACAGCCACATCCCCGCAGTGCCCCCGCCTGCAGCACCAACCCCTGGCCTGGCCTCCACCGAGGCTCAGGGCACAGAGGTGCAGATGGCCTGGCCTGAGGCCAGCCAGGCTGGGCTGTGACACCAGCACCTGCAGTGCCCTGGGCAGGCGACATGGGTGCTGGCACCCGCCAGCCGGATCCGCGCCGGGCAGAGGGCTCTCCTGGGAAGCCCAGCTGCCAGCTTCCCTCCTCCTCCCTGACGATTTTTGTTGCCTTCCAGCTCCTTCTGACACCCCCCCACTGCCTCAGTACTATGTTGGCCACGAGGTCCTTGCCCAGTCTCATGGGTGGTGGCACCTGAGTCCTGGCCGAGCACGAATCTGAGCCCTGCAAGGTGTGAACCCAGCTTGGGGCTGCATGAGGGCTCCTGAATATCTAACCTGTGGTGGGTTTCCAAGGCATGTGTATGACACGTTGAGGAACTGGAATAAAAGATGCCTAAAGGCTGATGTGGTCTCCTTACGTCAAAGGTGCATTG